GTTGAGTTGCATGAATGCTGCCAATGCCAGTTCATCTGTCCAAGGTACATTGACATGTTGCTGCAATGCCTGCAAGTTCAGCTTGTCGGGCTTCATGTTCTTGACGACGTCGTGCAACATATGCAATTGCTTCCGGACTGTTGGTCTCCAAATCTGGAAAGAGATCCATCCAAGACCCAATAAGTCTACTTCCAGTAAGTTGAAATCTAGTCATCCATTTTTGAAAATCCATCGTACCTCTGTTGTGTTTCATGAACTGCATGAATCGATACAAGATCACTGTTTGGGATCCCTTGATGAAATGTGGTCGCAAGAATCTTTTGAAATAGCTCGCGCCGTCATTTGGGTCTCTCAACAACTCTCTGTTCAGTAGTCTTTTGTACTGAGATGCTTCACCTTCTAATCCGTTCCTCAATTCAGGTTCCAATCTGTAAGGTCGCACCAATCATTAATTGCATCTTCGAAAGCAAAGAAACTGGTCCTTCCATCATAAGCAGGGGCTACCTTCGTGGTCATCTGCTGAGTCATGTGTATTGCTGGTTGTTGGGGTGCTCTTCTCATTGCATAGAATCATATTGATTCCATCCATCTGCATCGACACTGTCGAAGTCATCATCATAGCCATGGCTTGCCATGTTGGGCTCTACCGTGAGCTCACCTTCAATGAAGGATCACAGCCCCGCTACCACTTGAAGAGGGGCAATAGAGTCCTGATAGGATCAGCTAGAGCTCTTGAGCCTTGACAGCGTATATAAACTGTGCTCAGTACTCATGCTATGCCTGGTAGGGTGAAGCCCAACACAAAAACAAGGGCACAGCCTCCCCCAAAAGCAGAATGACAACACTTGTTTTCACAGGCAATGCTGTAGTTTGAATGTGCTACTCAATGTGTTTATAATGCCGAGCGTGCCCTTTGTGAACATGTAGAATGTAGGCTGCGGATGGTTGGGGGACCGCGGTGAAAAATTGTTCAAATAGTTTATTGAATATTATCATAATGTCGGTTTAAGATTTGTTTAAGGTGTATTTAGGGTTGGCTTTGGGGTTCTGTAGGTATGTTTAGGGTGTTTCTAAAGTTGGCTCAAGGTTCGTGTTCAGGGTTGGTTTAGGATCCAGTTAAAATTTGTTTATGGTTGGTTGTAGGGTTTATTTAGAGATACAAGATGTACATATAAAGTACCAATAAATATGTGTATGTGTATATGTAAATATGCTTGCATGTAAAAAGTATAATATCATAATATGTGTATATGTAAATATGCTTACATGTATAATATGATGAGGTAAATATATGAATATGATAATTATGGTTATATGACCTTCCTTCCTTCCTTCCTTCCTTCCTTCCTTCTTTGCATATTTTTTTGATCCGGAATATTTTTTTTGGATCCATATTTTTTTTTTGACCCCTATCCCCCCGAGCACACTATGATTTACACAGGCAACCCCTGACCCTTCTGGCATCTTCTGGCATACAACAGTTACACGACTTCCTGGCCCGGGCGCTTGCATCACTTGACCAAGAAAGGGTGTATCTGCAATATACCAGAAGCGCCATCCCTCTCTCGTTTCAACACCATCTATCATACTTTTCCTCGGTGCGGACGGACCCTGCCCACACCCACAAGTTGCACCAGAACGCACCGACACGGAAAGGTAAAAAGGGATCACTTTATAGAACACCATAAAAAGCATCGCTTTAGAACACAGTAACTTTTCATCACTTCAGAACACCATGCCAGACATCACTTCAGAACACAGCCCAAAAACATGGCATCATGGCCACTGAGGCGCAGCACTTTGGAAGGTTACGCGTAAACCAAAAAAAGGCGCCATTTAGGGATTGTTTCCTGGGCGAGACTGATTCCTGGATTTTGACAGGGCTTGGTTCCAGATCTAAAAAAGCTTAGAATCGAATTTAATGCTCCCCTGCTGCCACCTACGTGCGTGCGGAATGGATATGGGCTGCATTCAAATTCAATCTGCTTCCAAGTGGCGCAACTGGCAAGACTTCAGAATTTGGATTCAATCCAACCAAGTCTTTCCTGTCTCCTAGCTCTGGGTTCAATCTTTTTTTGCTGCAGTTGCACGAACGCCTCACGCGTCGAGCGAAGCAGTTGCTTCATAGTGACGGCCTTTCACATAGCAAGCCACCACCACAGGAAAGCCCCACGCTGCTTCGGAGATGGACCGTGGTGGTGAAAAATGGTCTCACTATAGGCTTCGTCTGCTATGTCACTGATTACATGTATGGGCCTCATCATTAGATGGGCTGCTGCTTGCACACACACAAATCGTCACCGTAGGTAGTTTCTCGAGACATCGCGGCCAGGTCGGCATCATATGATTGGAAATGGGTGTCAAACCACGGCTTGAACTCAGATCCGAATCCGCGCAAATAGGCCACAATCTCCGCACGAAGTTTGCTGTGTTCCAAAGCAAGGCCTGCCGAAAAGCACAAGCTGACAAACAAACAGTTGCCATCATGTGGGACATCCAACCGTTCCAGCCCTTTGCTTCCCAACTGACGGGTGAGAACTCGGCGGCTTTCCTCAAAATACTTCTCCATTTCCACATTGTCTTGCAAGACAACTCGCAAGCCATTTTCAATTGCTTCTCATCCCACTCACTCGACGCATCAGCATCATCTGGATCTGGCTGCATCCTGCAAATTCCGTTTGACCTTGGGAAACTGTGAGGCAAAAAGACACATTGATGCATTCCCTGCTGCAATTGCCATTAAGTAAATCTTTTCATCAATGAAATTACAAATATGATCACAGGTGAAAGAAAAAATGCACATATCATCCTGTCTTGGTGACACCAAGCAACATGTTGGAGGCAACGGTGTAGCTTGAGATTCAGCCCTTCTTGTGCACACAAAGATGCTACAGCATTGTAGCATAAACAGTCTGCGAAACCATGTGACAGTGGAACGCCCAGCTTCTCTGTCTGTTCAAGCAAGAGTTTTGCTGCAAAATGTTGGGCAACCTCGTCCTCTTTGTTGCTCAAAGCGAAGAACGTTGGTAAGAACCGTACAACCGGCCCTGACCTTTCAACGACCACACCAGCAGCACCACTTGCTCCCAAAGTAAGCCAGTTTGATTTGTTTGGAATGTAAAATCCAAACAAAAGCAGGAAAGCTTTTTTCCTGAAGAATCTCATTGATGCCCTCCTTCAAACCAAAAGCAAGCACAACCCTCTCTTTTTCCAAAACCATGCTGTCATGGAAAACAGTCACGCCAGCTGGCGGATCCGAAACAAACTCTCGAAGATCCCCCAAACACGAAACACTATGCTCCGTAGGGCCAGTTTGCTCTTTCTTCGGCCTCCGGTTCTTGAGCTGGAAAACTTCTGGTCGCTCATCCTTTGGGATCTTGGCTTCTGACATCTTTTTCAATGCCCTTCCAGGAGTGTGATCCTTGGCGAAGGCCCTAGCATGCGAGCGTTTCAGTCGCTCTAAATCTTTGTCACCAGAACAGAAACCAACTGTCTCTACCTGGAGCTGACCCTCCCTGTTGGAAAAGCACCACTGTTTACTGCAACTCAAACAGCTGGAGCATCGAGCTATCAAGGTCTTCACACCCTTGTCAGATGAAGCCGTCAGAGTGTTATGGAGAATGCCTTGTTGCTGAAGCCATTTCTGCCCCGCACGCCTCAATGACTCACTGGGATCCAACGCTTGCTTGCAGATGACCTCCCATGCTTTTTGCTGACGCCCCCTCACAGGACTTGCCGGACCCTCATCAGATGAATCCCTCTCAGAGGGAACAACAGCTTGGTCCGCCATCTGCGGATTACATTCGAATATAAAGCCACAAGCCACATGACAAGCAATACAAAAGAAGAAATAGATTCGAATCAAGCCACAGGATCATGCCCCAATGAATCCACAATGGAATTAAATTTGGTTTTTGAACTCCAATGAATATGGCGTTGCAATAACATAAATCTGAATTTAACTCTCCTGGTAGTTGAAAAACAACGCATGGCCAACATTCAAATCTAAGCTTCCCCAGCAAGACAATGGCAGTGACGAAGGATTAAAATCGAATGTGAACATTGCATGGAAATAGAAAGATAAAAGATACCCCAAGATTAGATTCAAATATAATGCCTGCAGGGAGGACCTGGTGGCCAAAAAAAGAAGCTTAAAATCGAATTTAATACCATTTAAATCTAGTTTCCAGGCCTTTTTATTGTTTCCTTGCATCAGGCTTTCAGCTGTAGTGGTCTAGACCTTGGAAGTCTTTATGCTCAAACACCTAGCCATTTAGGGTTTATTTAGGGGGAGGGGGGGTTCAGAACCAGCCATTAGGGTTTATTTGGGGGGCAAAAGGGTTCAGCTGCCTTTCAAAGGTTGGAACGACTCCTTCCACTCTAAGGGTTCTTACTTGTCTCTTGCCTTGGGAGTCCTTGTGCTCAACTAGCCAGCAAACTGAATCAATGCTGCTGATAGAATTAAACAGCGACCGCACTCTTAGAAACCCTTGATAGCCAAAAACATCCTCATGATCCTAAAATGTGTCATCACAACTGGAAAATCTTTACCGTGGCCACAGATATTATCTATTACGACCCTTCACATATGTGATGTCACACTAAGGAACGACACATGCTGCTGCTGCTGATGATGATGATGACGACGATGATCATGATGATGCGGGTGATGATGGTGATGATGATCATGATGATCATGATGATGGTGGTGATGATGACTATGGCTATGATGATGATTGTGGCTATGATGATGATTATGGTTGTGATGATGATGATGATGATGGTGGTGGTGGTGGTGGTGGTGGTGATGGTGTTGGTGATGATGATGATGATGATGGTGATGAAATATGATGAAATAGGATGAAATATGATGAAATATGATGAAATAGGTATGTATGTTGTTGCTGATGGTGATGATGATCGTGATGATGACTTTGGGGTTACAAGCAAACACATGTAGGAGTTACAAGCCTTGGTTTTCGCCGCGTCCCAAAAGCGATGGTTTTCTGAGTGTTCTAAAGCGATGCTTTTCTGCGCGTTCTAAAGCGAGGGCCTTGCTACACGGAAATGCTCCATCTGAACATATATGAACAACATGATTTGACCAGATTGATTCGACTGATGCCCGTTGATGGTGACTGTGGATGTCACCATAGGATCAAAGGGCGACCAATCGTAAAGGACAATGCCGCTTCTTCATCCACCCTGTCGAAGAATTTAACATCAAGGACAACGTCCGAAGGGGTGGTCGCGCACCGCGCCTGCAAACCATTTGCAAAATCATCACCCGAATCACCCCGTAGGATGGTCCACTGATGGGCCCCGTCACTGTCGAATTTCATCACGAACACGTCAAAATCGCCAGCATTGCTTTGGTTGTCCAGGTCAGTGGAGGCTGTATAGCCGGCCACGAAGACATTCCCGGATGCGTCCACCTGTGCCACGGCCAGCACGGCATGGGCTGAGTCGTAACATGACAAGACCTGTCTGATTCCGAATCAGTTGGATTGTACAAAGTGAAGTCACGACACCTGGAAGCGTCAACCTGGACATTTTGATAAATTTGACAAGTCTGGATTTCGGCAGCACTGAACCACGTGGACTAACTTGAACAGTGTTGTCAATAGTTGGTTAGCGGCTTTCTGTCCCAAATACCCACAACCAAAACTTTCACCAGAACAAACCGACAGGGAAATGCTCTATCTGAACATATCTGAACAACATGATTTGACCAGATTGATTCGACTGATGCCCGCTGATAGTGACGGTGGATGTCACCATAGGATCAAAGGATGACGAATCGTAAAGATACAATTTCTCCAACTAGTTCAACTTTCACATCAGTGAAATGCTTCTTCATCTACCCTGTGCAAAAACTTCACATCAAGGACAACATCGGAAGGGGGGGGTCGCGCACCGCGCCTGCAAACCATATGCAAACTCATCACCCGGACCACCCCGTAGGATGGTCCACTGATGGGCCCCGTCACTGTCGAATTTCATCACGAACACGTCAGTATTGCCAGCATTGCTTTGGCTGTCCAGGTCAGTGGAGGCTGTAAAGCCGGCCACGAAGACATTCCCGGATGCGTCCACCTGCGCCATGGCCAGCACGGCATGGGCTGAGTCGTAACATGACAAGAACTGTCTGATTCCGAATCAGTTGGATTGTACAAAGTGAAGTCACGACACCTGGAAGCGTCAACTGGGACATTTTGATAAATTTGACAAGTCTGGATTTCGGCAGCACTGAGCCACGTGGACTAACTTGAAAATCTGGCGCGGTCATTTCAAGGCTTGGACATCAAAAACCAATCGCACCAACAAAATTCAGGCTGTCAATGTAGCTGTTCATGTATTTGATCTTACCGGCGGGGATCTCAATAGTCTTGCGCCATGGATCATAAATCTCTCTGTTGGTTGTAAAAAAAAGGGAAAACGCCTCTGCATCGCGCAACCTGCCGCTGAAAAAGCGATCAGAATGCCTGTGCTGCTCTCCGGGCGCATCAAACCATTGTGGGCTCTCCATGGAGCCGGTTTCCGTGATGGAAATGGGACAGGGTACACACTTCCAAGAAGCCACTGGCGTGAAAGCTAGAACATTTTGTCTTCCAAGAGTTTCCAAATTCCCATGATTTGTGCAATTGTGCGTAATTTCTCTGGCCACTGGATCGAGCAGGAAATATTCCTGTGCAAAAGTTCGGAAATTGAATGAAAATGTCTTCCCGCCAAATGACACATGCACAGCATTGTGTTCATTTCTATGGTTCCTTGCCGAAAAAAAAGCACATCTCAACGCATGTCCGTTTAGCGAAAACATATTTCCCACTTGTGCCCTGCAAAAGCAAAATGGCATTCTCTAGTTGCACTTCAAAGTTTGACAGTCAAGGTGTGGTCACGTCGAACCGGCACGCCAAACTAAACCCTATATGCCCCATTATTTCATGAACATATTGGCGCGAAGGTAAATGGTGACGCACGACATCTCAACAACCATCAACCTTACCGTCGACTACATGTCGACCTATCGTCACCTGCATTGCCAATCCCGTTGGAATACGATGATGTCAGATATCAGAACTTATCAGATATCTCATTACGAGCATGCATCATATCCGCGACGACCAAACGTTTCATGATTGCACATCTCAGATCATAAAATCATGCAGTTTGCGACATCCAAATCTTGATGCTGCATTCCGTTTCTGGCGAGCTTGTGGGTTACGACCTGTACCAGCTATATTCCATTATTTTCCCCTTCTCAACCGCTACAGTAAGCCACATTATGGGCATGGTGGCCCTTCTCTAGCCTACTTGGGCCATCAAAAAGTTGAAAAACAAAGCGAAAAGGGGCGGTGGTTCAAAGAAGGTCCTTGCAAATGACACAGCCATGGCAAACAATCAAGAACGCATCATCTACCCTGCCGAAAAACTTCACATCAAGGGCAACATCCGAAGGGGGGTTTTTGAACCGCGCCTGCAGAACAAAACCCTGCAGACTAATTAGAACCACGTTAGGATCAAAGGATGACGAATCGTAAAGGACAATGCGTCCAACGAGTTCAACATGCATAGTTCAATTCTTACATCCTTGCAACGTTTCTTCATCTACCCTGCGCAAAAACTTCACATCAAGGACAACATCGGAAGGGGGGGGTCGCGCACCGCGCCTGCAAACACTGTGGGTAATCGTAACTCGAACCACCCCGTAGGATGGTCCACTGATGGGCCCCGTCCCTGTCGACTTTCGTCACGAACACGTCAGTATCGTTAGGATGAAATTGGCTGTCCATAGTGCCAGCCACGAAGACATTCACGGATGCGTCCACCTGCACCACGGCCAGCACGGCATGGGCTGAGTCGTAACATGACAAGAACTGTTTGATTCCGAATCAGTTGGATTGTACAAAGTGAAGTCACGACACCTGGAAGCGTCAACTTGGACATTTTGATAAATTTGACAAGTCTGGATTTCGGCAGCACTGAACCACGTGGACTAACTTGAACAGTTTGGCGCGGCTTTCCGTCCAAAATACCCGAACCCACAGCTCTCACCAGAGCGAACCGACACGGACATGCTCTAACATATCGAACAACATGATTTGACTATAGATTGGTACGACTGATGCCCGATGATGCTGGTTCAACCTGCATGTATGGATGTCACCGCAGGATCAAAGGATGACGAATGGTAAAGGACAATGCGTCCAACGAGTTCAACATGCATAGTTCAATTCTTACATCCATGCAACGCTTCTTCATCTACCCTGCGCAAAAACTTCACATCAAGGACAACGTCGGAAGGGGGGGTCGCGCACCGCGCCTGCAAACCATATGCAAACTCATCACCCGGACCACCCCGTAGGATGGTCCACTGATGGGCCCCGTCACTGTCGAATTTCATCACGAACACGTCAAAATCGCCAGCATTGCTTTGGTTGTCCAGGTCAGTGGAGGCTGTATAGCCGGCCACGAAGACATTCCCGGATGCGTCCACCTGCAACACGGCCAGCACGGCATGAGCTGAGTCGTACATGACGAGAACTGTTTGATTCCGAATCAGTTGGATTGTACAAAGTGAAGTCACGACACCTGGAAGCGTCAACTTGGACATTTTGATAAATTTGACAAGTCTGGATTTCGGCAGCACTGAACCACGTGGACTAACTTGAAAAGTTTGGTCAGTTTGGTCGAATAGTTGGTTTGCGGCTTTTCGTCCAAAATACCCACACCATCCCACACCCACAATTTTTACCAAAAAAATGACAGGGACACGCTTGATCTGAACATATATGAACAACATGATCTGACTACATTGGTACGACTGATGCCGATGATGGTGGCTCAACCTGCATGTAGATTTAAAGGATGACGAATCGCAAAGGACAATGCGTCCAACGAGTTCAACATGCATAGTTCAATTCTTACATCCTTGCAACGCTTCTTCATCTACCCCGCGCAAAAACTTCACATCAAGGACAACGTCGGAAGGGGGGGGTCGCGCACCGCGCCTGCAAACCATATGCAAAATCATCACCCGAACCACCCCGTAGGATGGTCCACTGATGGGCCCCGTCACTGTCGAATTTCATCACGAACACGTCAAAATCGCCAGCATTGCTTTGGCTGTCCAGGTCAGTGGAGGCTGTATAGCCGGCCACGAAGACATTCCCGGATGCGTCCACCTGCGCCACGGCCAGCACAGCACTGGATTGTACTTTGAGTAAAGTCGCGACACATGGAACTTAGGCATTTTGATAAACTTGACAAGTCTGGATTTGAAAAGCTTCGTCAGTTTGGTCGAATAGTTGGTTTGCGGCTTTTCGTCCAAAATACCCACACCATCCCACACCCACAATTTTTACCAAAAAAATGACAGGGACACGCTTGATCTGAACATATATGAACAACATGATCTGACTACATTGGTACGACTGATGCCGATGATGGTGGCTCAACCTGCATGTAGATTTAAAGGATGACGAATCGCAAAGGACAATGCGTCCAACGAGTTCAACATGCATAGTTCAATTCTTACATCCTTGCAACGCTTCTTCATCTACCCTGCGCAAAAACTTCACATCAAGGACAACATCGGAAGGGGGGGTCGCGCACCGCGCCTGCAAACCACGTGCCTCCTCAACACTCGAACCACCCCGTAGGATGGTCCACTGATGGGCCCCGAGACTGTCGAGTTTCATCACGAACATGTCAAAATCGCCAGCATTGCTTTGGCTGCCCAGGTCAGTGGAGGCTGTATAGCCGGCCACGAAGGCATTCCCGGATGCGTCCACCTGCGCCACGGCCAGCACGGCATGGGCTGAGTCGCAACATGACAAGAACTGTTTGATTCCGAATCAGTTGGATTGTACAAAGTGAAGTCAGGACACCTGGAAGCGGCAAGTTGGACACTTTGATAAATTTGACAAGTCTGGATCTCGGCAGCGCTGAACCACTTGGACTAAACTTGAAAAGTTTGGTCAGTCAATATTTGGTTAGCGGCTCTCCGTCCCTAATACCCACACCCACAGTTTTACCAGAAAACACGACACGGAAACGCTTGATCTGAACCATATTGCAACAACATGATTTGATTAGATTGATACGACTGATGCCCGATGATGTTGGCCCAACTTGCATGTGGACGTCACCGTAGGGTCGAAGGATGACGAATCGTATTTTTTTTGTCCATTAAGTTCAATTTTTATTCCCGAGAGCGTCTGAGCACAGGGTTCTTCCTATAGTGGGGGTCTGTAAAACATCTTCTCATCTTCACATCTTCTCATCTTCACATCTTCTCATCCTCACATCTTCTCATCTTCACATCTTCTCATCCTCACATCTTCTCATCTTCACATCTTCTCATCCTTACATCTTCTCATCTTCACATCTTCTCATCCTCACATCCTCACATCTTCACATCCTCACATCTTCACATCTTCTTATCTTCACATCCTCACATCTTCACATCTGCTCATCTTCACATCTTCACACCTTCTCATCCTCACATCTTCTTATCTTCTCATCTTCACATCTTCTCATCCTCACATCTTCTCATCTTCAGATCTTCTCATCCTCACATCTTCTCATCTTCACATCTTCTCATCTTCACATCTGCTCATCTTCACATCTTCTCATCCTCACATCTTCACATCTTCTCATCTTCACATCTGCTCATATTCACATCTTCTCATCCTCACATCTTCACATCCTCACATCTTCACATCTTCTCATCTTCGCATCTTCTCTCTTGCCCTCTTGCTCTCTTGCTCTCTCCTTCTTTTCTATTTCTCTCTTGAAGGCGCGGGGCAGTGCCAACGAGACGGCACGAAACGCAACCCTTTCGCACGAATTGAGGCCGATCTCCAAGTTCGATCGAAAAAACTGATGAGATAAAATTGCGATTTGCAAGTCGTCCCGCGCAACCCTTTCGCACAAAATGAGGTTCGATCGCCAAAAACTGTGGTAAAATTGCGATTTGCAAGTCGTCCCGCGCAACCCTTTCGCACAAAATGAGGTTCGATCGCCAAAAACTGTGGTAAAATTGCGATTTGCAAGTCGTCCCGCGAACCCTTTCGCACCAAATGAGGTTCGAGCCCCAAAAGCTGAGGTAAAATTGCGATTCCCCTTGTCCAATCGCAACCCTTTCGCCCGAAATGAGGTTTGATCGCCAAAAACTGAGATAAAATTGCGATTTGCAAATCGTCCCGCGCAACCCTTTCGCGCAAAATGAGGTTTGATCGCCAAAAACTGAGGTAAAATTGCGAGTTGCAAGTGGTCCCGCGCAACCCTTTCGCACGCAAGTTGTCCGGGCGTCTGTGTGTAAAAGCTTCTGTGTGTAAAAGCGTCTGTGTGTAAAAGTGTCTGTGTGTAAAAGTGTTTGTGTGTAAAAGTGTTTGTGTGTAAAAGTGTCTGTGTGTAAAAGCTTCTGTGTGTAAAAGCTTCTGTGTGCAAAACCGTCTGTGTGTAAAGGTCTCTGTGTGTAAAAGTGTTTGTGTGTAAAAGTTCTGTGTGTAGAAGCGTCTGTGTGTAAAAGCGTCTGTGTGTAAAAGCTTCTGTGTGCAAAACCGTCTGTGTGTAAAAGCGTCTGTGTGTAAAAGCGTTTGTGTGTAAAAGCGTCTGTGTGTAAAAGCGTCTGTGTGTAAAAGGGTCTGTGTGTAGAAGCGTCTGTGTAAAAGCGTCTGTGTGTAAAAGCGTCTGTGTAAAAGTTTCTGTGTGCAAAACCGTCTGTTTTGAAAAGTCTCTGTGTGTAAAAGCGTTTGTGTGTAAAAGCGTCTGTGTGTAAAAGCCTCTGTGTGTCAAAGCGTCTGTGTGTAAAAGCGTCTGTGTGTAAAACCGTCTGTGTTTAAAAGCGTCTGTGGTGTAAAAGCGTCTGTGTGTAAAAGCGTCTGCGTGTAAAAGCGTCTGGGTGTAAAAGCTTCTGTGTGTAAAAGCGTCTGCGTGTAAAAGCGTGTGTGTGTGTGTGTGTAAATAAGTCTGTGTGTGTGTAAACGCACTCAGTGTGTGTAAATGCACTCAGAATGACCGAACTGTGTGGTGTAAAAGCGTTTGTGTGTAAAAGTGTCTGTGTGTAAAACTGTCTGTGTGTAAAAGTGTCTGTGTGTAAAACTGTCTGTGTGTAAAAGCGCCTGTGTGTAAGGAATCATCTAGAAACACAGAACTTTCCGCCACTAGTACCGCCGAACTTGCCGAGATATATAGTTTCGCGGTTTCAAGGTGGCAATCATCTAGAAACTGGTCATATCTCATAGCGACATTAGCACAACCAGAGCTGTCCGAGCGTGCTGCATCTGTCGCGGACTCAGGTTCCACGTGTGTTTTTTTGCGTCGAGTTGTTTCACATATGCATAGGCACCATCCATGTTGTAAACTGTCAGACTGTGACTACATCCGGCTGCATTTGCTATGCGTTTTTCATGTGACATGATCGAAGTTGTTGTTCATTGTGATTTTGCCTGAGGCACTCGCCATTTGGATGATGCGAAGCTACGCATTCTAGCTTTGGTGCAGAAGGTCAGGGACACAGGAATGTCATTGGTTACACTCTTCTACAAAATATGTGATAACACAGAAACACGCACAGAGACACCGTGAAAACACTATCAAAATATCACAGAAACTGCTGACTTCATCGAAGCTGTTGAAAGGCATGGAAGACATTTTGGCTGTGGCTCCAAAGACGCCACTGGCTCAGAAACGTTTGTGCTGATGTGATTCGCGTGTGTGTCTGTTGGATTCAGGAAAAACTGTCTGAATTTTGTTCAGGGGTCCTAGTTGTAGAAGAATGAACAGTTGCATTTTTTGAAGGCGTCATTACTGCTTCGTTTTGATGGCGGCTCAAGCTCTTGAATAACAAGTTCTGTCATGGTTTTAACTGAAGTTGCAGTGGTATTTTCAATTTTTGATTTGATTAGGACCGACATAGTCACACTTGATTGAACGGCCCCTCTTAACCGGAACTGGCTGAGAGGCGGGTACCGTTCAGGCATGTGGTATTTTCAATTTCTTTTCATCATGGACCTACACAGTCACACGTTGTTTTCACGTTAGATATCCAATTTATGTCATGTCGCAGCCGCGAGAGAAGATGCACCGGTTGGTGGAGGATGGCGCGAGCAGGGGACCGGAGTGGCTGCAAGGAGCTCTGGCGGAGATCCGTCGAGAGGAGTTGCGCGCAATGTGCCAGACTGCGGGTTTGGCAGTGAAGTCGAATGGCAAGTTGCTAACGGTGCCACAACTGCAGGAAGCGTTGCTGGCATTCTGAGGCTAAAAAGGTGGGAAGTTGTTTGATGTGCAACTGGGATGAAGCTTTACTTCTGTTTTACAACATGTTCCGAAAATTGAAAAGACAACGGTTTCTTTCAAATAAATTCTTGGTTAGACAGAATGGTTCACTTTGATCTTATATGAAATAAAGGATAACATGAACATGTTTGCCTGCGATCATGCTTGGTTCTGGTTATGATTGCTTGTTGCTGTATCGGAGCACACTTCTCAGACATACTATGGTTGGTTAAACAACTCTGGAGGCAGCTGCTCCGCAGCCGGGAGAGAAGCTGCAGCAGTTGCGAGAGGATGGCGCCATCAGGGGGCCGGAGTGGCTGGGAGGGGCTGTGGCGGACATCCGTAAAGATGAGTTGCGAGAAATGTGCAAGGCCGCGGGTTTGCGCGTGAAGTCGACCAGCGGCAAAACGTGGCTAACGATGCCAGAACTGCGAGAAGCGTTGCTGGCATATCTGGCTCCTGAGGCTGGGAAGGCGGGAAGTTGTTTGATTGCAAGTTGTATGGGCAATATGTGCAACTGGAATGAAGTCTTATTTCTGTTTTACAACATGTTTCAGTCATTGTAAAGACAACGGTTTACATAGAGATAATTATCGATTAGACAGAGGGTGTCATTTTGATATCTCATGAAATACTGAAACGTTTTGCTTTTGGGATGTCTGGTGGTGTATTGAAGTCTTTTCTGCGGCTAGTTGAGGTTTGTGATATCCTAGTTATCTCACGAAATACTGAAACGTTTTGCTTTTGGGATGTCTGCTGGTGTATTGAAGTTTTTTCTGGGGCTAGTTACTGTTGGTTAAAATGTTGGTAGGTTTGTGATATCGTTGTTATTTATGTGGTTGGTCGTTAGAAGTGATCAATGAGTGGATGAGGCATCTGGAACTACTGCTGGAGGAGCCGCCGCCCAACCGGAACTGCCCGATGAGGAGGCAGGTGCTCGGCAGCTGCAAGAGAAGCGTTGTGTGATTGCGAGGTGTATGGACGACATTGACGACATGTGCAACTGTGATGAGTTCTGATTTCTATTGTACAAGACATCCCATCATTGTAAAGATATTGGTTCATTTCGAATTGTGACAAATTGAGTGTTGGTTAAACAGAGTGGTTCGATAATGTTCGATATCCTTTGAAATATAAAACAATATGAACATGTTTGCCTGTGATCATGTTTGGTTCTGGTTATGATTGCTTGTTGCTGTATCGGAGCACACTTCTCGGACATACTATGGTTGGTTAAACAACTCTGGAGGCAGCTGCTCCGCAGCCGGGAGAGAAGCTGCAGCAGTTGCGAGAGGATGGCGCCATCAGGGGGCCGGAGTGGCTGGGAGGGGCTGTGGCGGACATCCGTAAAGATGAGTTGCGAGAAATGTGCAAGGCCGCGGGTTTGCGCGTGAAGTCGACCAGCAGCAAAACGTGGCTAACGATGCCAGAACTGCGAGAAGCGTTGCTGGCATATCTGGCTCCTGAGGCTGGGAAGGCGGGAAGTTGTTTGATTGCAAGTTGTATGGGCAATATGTGCAACTGGAATGAAGTCTTATTTCTGTTTTACAACATGTTTCAGTCATTGTAAAGACAACGGTTTACATAGAGATAATTATCGATTAGACAGAGGGTGTCATTTTGATATCTCATGAAATACTGAAACGTTTTGCTTTTGGGATGTCTGGTGGTGTATTGAAGTTTTTTCTGGGGCTAGTTGTTGGTTAAAATGTTGGTAGGTTTGTGATATCGTTGTTATTTATGTGGTTGGTCGTTAGAAGTGATCAATGAGTGGATGAGGCATCTGGAAGTACTGCTGGAGGAGCTGCCGCCGCACAACCAGAACTGCCCGGTGAGGAGGCAGGTGCTCGGCAGCTGCAAGAGAAGCGTTGTGTGATTGCGAGGTGTATGGACGACATGTGCAACTGTGATGAGTTCTGATTTCTATTGTACAAGACATCCCATCATTGTAAAGATATTGGTTCATTTCGAATTATGACAAATTGAGTGTTGGTTAAACAAAGTGGTTCGATATCCTTTGAAATATCCGCCGACCCCGGCAGACGCAAGGGGGAGCGCGCCAGGGAATAAGACATTTGAAGACAGCAGCAGCAGCAGCAGCAGCAGGCCCAGCAGCTGAGCTCGCTTTGTTTTTACCAGAATCTAGAAGGGACGTCAGCAGCAGCAGCAGCAGCAGCAGAAGCAGCAGCAGCAGCAGGCCCAGCAGCTGAACTCGCTTTGTTTTTACCAGAATCCAGAAGGGACGTCAAGCCTCGGGGCAGTATGTTTTTGGAGGTCGTTCCGTCCTTCAGTAGCATGGTGTTTCGGTGTGGCGAAGGGTGCGTTTTGGAGGCTTGCAGCACCACCTCGGGGGCAGCATGTTTTTGGAGGTCGTTCCGTCCTTCAGTAGCATGGTGTTTCGGTGTGGCGAAGGGTGCGTTTTGGCACCTGCTCCTGCTGCTGCACCACCTCCAGCAGCACCACCAGCAGCAGCAGCAGCAGGAGCAGCAGCAGCAGTAGCGCAGCAGCAGCAGGCCCAGCAGCTGCAATCGCTTTGTTCTTAACAGAATCTAGAAGGGACGTCAAGCCTGCGGGCAGCATGTTTTTTGGAGGTGGTTCCGTCCTTCAGTAGCATGGTGTTTCGGTGGCGAAGGGTGCGTTTTGGAGGCTTGCAGCACCAGCTCCAGCTGCACCACTAGCAGCAGCAGCAGCAGCAGTAGGAGCGTCTTCCGCAGCAGGAGAAAAAAGTAGCTAAAATCATCATTTTCTATAAGTTTCGGAAGTTACGTTAGGCATTTTTGCGGTGCAACGATGCAATTTCGGAACCTTTCCGTCCTTCACTGCCATAGGGATTTGCCGCTGGGAGTGGTTCGCTTTTAGGTGTCGCAGCTAGACACTAGCAGCGGCAGCAGGAGCGTCTCCAGCAGCAGGAGAAAAAAAGTAGCTAAAATCATTATTTTCTATGGGTTTCAGAAGTTACATTAGGCATTTTTGAGGTGCAATTTCGAAGCTTTTCCGTCCTTCACTGCCATGGGGGTTTGCCGCTGGGAGTGGTTCGCTTTTAGGAGTCGCAGCAACGCAGCAAGCCAGCAGCAGCAGCAGCAGCAGCAGCAGCAGCAGTAGGAGCGTCTTCCGCAGCAGGAGAAAAAAGTAGCTAAAATCATCATTTTCTATGGGTTTCGGAAGTTACGTTAGGCAGGTGCAATTTCGATGCAATTTCGGAACCTTTCCGTCCTTCACTGCCATGGGGATTTGCCGCTGGGAGTGGTTCGCTTTTAGGTGTCGCAGCTAGACACTAGCAGCGGCAGCAGGAGCGTCTCCAGCAGCAGGAGAAAAAAAGTAGCTAAAATCATTATTTTCTATGGGTTTCAGAAGTTACATTAGGCATTTTTGAGGTGCAATTTCGAAGCTTTTCCGTCCTTCACTGCCATGGGGATTTGCCGCTGGGAGTGGTTCGCTTTTAGGTGTCGCAGCTAGACACTAGCAGCGGCAGCAGGAGCGTCTCCAGCAGCAGGAGAAAAAAAGTAGCTAAAATCATTATTTTCTATGGGTTTCAGAAGTTACATTAGGCATTTTTGAGGTGCAATTTCGAAGCTTTTCCGTCCTTCACTGCCATGGGGATTTGCCGCTGGGAGTGGTTCGCTTTTAGGCGTCGCAGCTAGACACTAGCAGCGGCAGCAGGAGCGTCTCCAGCAGCAGGAGAAAAAAAGTAGCTAAAATCATCATTTTCTATGGGTTTCAGAAGTTACATTAGGCATTTTTGAGGTGCAATTTCGAAGCTTTTCCGTCCTTCACTGCCATGGGGATTTGCCGCTGGGAGTGGTTCGCTTTTAGGAGTCGCAGCTAGCCACCAGCAGCTGCTGCATCCGTCCTTCACTGCCATGGGGATTTGCCGCTGGGAGTAGTTCACTTTTAGGCGTCGCAGCTAGCCACCAGCAGCAGCAGCAGCAGCAGCAGCAGTAGGACTTGCCGATGTTAAATGTAGACCGATAGACCGTTTTTGGTTTTAGGCCACCTGCACCTTCGGAAAACGTGTGTTCTCCGATCCTGAAGTTATCTAACTTTGGATCCCACGGCCAGAGCAGCAGCCATTCCGATGTATCTGCCAACCCATGATTGCAAAACACATTTGGCTCAAGAACACGTTGGCTCAAAATGGCTCAAGACTTTGACTTCCCAGCTTTCAAAAAAAAAGGGGAGGAAGGGATGTAATGTAGTTGGCTCAAGACCAGTGTGGGCAAAGTTACCCACACTGGGGCTGGGAAAAAAAATGGGTAAGATGGGATTGGTAACTAGATGGCTCAAAACCAATTTCGGCAAAATTTCCAAATTGGTGCGGTAGGGCAAGGAAAAAGTAGGAAGGGAATTGGGAAGGGATGGTTGGGACTGGGCTGGATGTGACCAGGGGTAACATGATAACATAATGTAATGTAACCTTGGGGTAATGCAACCTTATAATTTTCAACATGGCATGGCATGAAACCATCAAACCATAAACCATGTCAAACACAACATTTCAAACATTTTTGGCATGGAACAGGGGAGGTGGTCTGACCCCTCTCAGTTCTTTTCGATTGTTTTTTTGTTGCCACAAGTGGCAGCGCTGTGGAACCAAGCTGTAGAATTCTCTGCAGCATGGCCAGCAGGGGAGGCGACCCCTCTCGCTGACTAATTTTTTTTCAACAAATCAAACAATCAAACCATGTAAAACACATGATGTTTCAATTTTTTGGCATGGATTGGGCAGCAGGGGAAGTGTCTCACCCTGTTCACTGACTGGATCATTTTATTTTGGATTGTTTATTATTTTGTTGCCACCAGTGGCAGCGCTGTGGAACCAAACTGTAGAATTTTGGCATGGCCAGCAGGGAGGTGGTCTGACCCCTTTCACTGACTGGATTGTTTTATTTTTTCAACAGGCTAAACCATCAAACAATGTTTATTTTTGATTTTTTGAAGAGGAGGTGGTTTGACCTCACTACCTGGAATGCTGGAGTTTTTTTGACAGGTGCCGACATGCTAAGCGATCAAAGCAATGAAACCAGGGAGAGCTGCCAATTTCACCATTTTTTGTTTGGCAGCCAGCCTGGAAGGAAGACAAATTCAAACAAACCAATGGAAGGTGGTCTGACCTTCCGACCCCTCTGTGAAGAAATTGCAGTGTTTAATCCCATTACCTTCTGTCAGTCAGAAATGTAACTGGGGAGGGGGGCAGGGCGATCCAAAAAATCACCAACTGGGTGTTGAGTATATATGCATCCCTTTGTTGGAGCTAGATCTATCTTTGTACGATTTATCTTGGATGATATTACCCAAGATGAAGGTGGTCTGAACTCTTTAACCACTGCTTCACCGAAATTTCACTGGATATTGTTTCTGAAGTGCTAGTATTTAGCCAATTGTTCCATTGTTTTTGAAACATTTTCCTGGCCAGCATCACTGTTGAATAGTGTCTAGTTTTTGAACCCGGTGTATCTTTTAATGGATCTACCCTAGATGGGGACGCCCTCAATGTTTTACTTGTGCCAACCTCATCATCGGGCAAGGGAACCACAGAGAACATATGTAAACACCATTGATTTTTGATCAAGAGTCGTATGCCCCAGGATAACTTGATGAAGCGTTTCTTAACCACACTATTTTGATGGATTTCATCAATTCGTTTTGATGCCCTTGTTCCCACTGCCGCCACAATGTTTAGATCATTACCCTTCCCCGGTTTCGCCCTGCAGGACACCTGGGACCTGTGGGCACCAGCAGGCACAAGAAGTTTCTTGTGCCTGCTGGTGTCTACATTCTACAGTTGGCGCTCCGGTTTCTGATGATGAAACTCAGCTTGCAATCAAAACTCTGGAGGTGAAGGATGGTGGGCCTTCAAATCCCTCTTGGTTAACACGGGGGAATCGATAATAATGCATGTTGATGGTCTCCAAAATGCCCTCACCTGCACAACTCAGGACCTGTGGCTGCCACTGCAGGTGGAACTGTTGAGACAACGGTTCCGCCTGCAGTGGCTGCCGCCGTTTCATTGAAATCTCAGCATGGGTGCAGCTGCTCCGCAAAATCTCGTCGAGCGATTCGCTTTGCAAGGTCTTGTCCATAGCAACTTCACCCATGATGGAATTTGAACGGATGCTGTTCCCTCCAGCAGTGGCAGGCGTCTCAGTCGACCGAGACGCCTGCCACTGCTGCAGGGAACTACTTGCTGCCAGTGTGGAGGGAACGGCACGTTCAACCATAGGATGGGTCACCCTATGGTTGGACGTGCCGTTCCCTCCAACACGCTGCAGGGAACACTTGCTGGCCAGGGTTGTGGTCTGACCCGACTCCTGCATTCGAAATCGACAGTAGGAGCGCCTTGGAGTCAACACTGGCTATGGTTGAACGTAACGTTCCCTCCAACACTGGCATGAGAGATCTCGTCACTCTTGTGCCAGTGTTGGAGGGGACGTTGACGAGCGGAGCCATTCATTGCGGAGCCGCGTGCAATCTGCGGAGACTTAGTTCCTTGGACATCAATCATGTCCCCCTGTGGCAGACTGGTAGTAAAAGGGAAATTATTAGGGGAACCTTCATCATGGTTGACACATGGGGTCAGACCGCCGTGCATCATGTTCTATGTGCATTACAAGTAGACAGAAGAAGGGCCACCACCCACACCACCAAACACTGGAATGCCGAGATGCCTGCCACTTACGGACTCAAAAAAAACAGATGTGTTTTGACGTGTTTCCCTATGCAACATTTCTTCCAACGGGTTTGGCTGGATTGTGCGATGGTATGCGTGCTATATTATCTTTTGTTTTGGAGGGAGGGGTTCTATTGAAGGTTGTAAGACCCCCTTAACTAAACAACAAGGAACTATGTTAGTGCATTTGGTTTCTGAAACACGAGTTTGTACCTAAATTTTACCATTGGTTTTGGGTCGGGGCATTCAAGCA